AGCAGTTTTCTTAGGCCTGCACCACTTTCTCTTGTGTAATTGAAGTCTTTGAAGTAATCAAACTGAACCCTGAGCCCAACATGTAAATGGCTCTATTCTGTTGACCTCCTTTCCTTAGAGGCAGTCATCCTGGAGCTACGGCATTTTCTTTTCTGCAGCCCCAGTGAAGCAAAACAGGCTTGTGACTCTGACCAAGGCTCTGGCAGCGAGAGGTCACACAGTCCCTGCACTTATCAGACAGGCAGGGGGCTCTCAGGGAATGATTAAGCTTGTGCAAAGAAAACTAGCAAAACTACCAAAAGGTGTAAAGTAGGAGCACACTGGTAAAGTCTCACTAAATCCAGAGCTTCGAGGCAACTCTTGCTGAGTGGGAAGGCAAGAGGGAAATCAAGGCAAGGTGTAGGCCATGCTGGTAAGGAGTGGTTAAATCCAGTAGGCCTGGCAGAGGAGGTAATTGAAAACCATCACCCAGGCTCCAAGGCAAGGGGATGCCCACCCACAGAGAAAAGGTTGACAAGGTGTCACACACCTATCTTTCTCTCTTCCAGGTGGACACTTCCTCTTCAAGTTTAAAGCCAGACACATCTCTGGCATGCATTCTAAATAACTGGGAGCAATTTTGATCCCCAGACCCTGAAAAAGAAGTGCCCTATCTTTTGCACACAAGCCTGGCCTCAATACAAACTCTCTAATAGAGAGGCTTGGTGCCTGAGAGAAGTATACAATATAATAAGGTTATGCAGCTAAATTTATTTTAATGCAAGGAAAGAAAATAGTCAAAATTCCTGTGAACTACTACAATATGAGACTAACTTTCTCCATTTTTTTGGTGAAAATCTATTCTACTTATTAGGTTCATCATTATCTTCAAAAATTGGGAGGTAATTAAACTAGACTCCCTGAAATGGAAGAAATTTATCTTCTGCAATACAGCCTGGCTTTAAATGACTGAAGCTAGAATTGTACTTGCATTTCATTTCCAGCCTCCTGGACACACACGGTCCCTATCAGTTCAGAGCCTTTATCAGCCCTGTTAGTCTGGGGCCGTCGAATCCTCTACCCAGTTGTGTAAACTGCTCACCCTCAGAGTGTATTCTTGAGAACTGAGACACTTTGGGTCAAATAAGCTAAAAGGAAAAGAAGGTAATTGAATATCAGTAATTCAAATCTTTGTATCAGTGTATCTGTCTGTGTATATGTTATTTTATGAAAAGTGTTGCTAACTGTAGTCATTACATCTCAATCTGCATGTTTGTGTGTCTAAGCATGTAAATGAAAAATATTTTTCTACCTCTGGATGGTTTTAATAAAATATATTTAAAGACAAGCACTTATGAAAATTGGGCATTCTAAAACTTCCAGAAAATTCTAATAAAAGATATTAAGCATGAATGCTAATTTAAGATGAACTGAAATGGACATGTCCTTATGGTTATCAGCTGCCTAAGTTTACCTAAAGTCATTTAAGTTGATGTTATCTGCTAAATCTTTCAAGAATAAAATGCTTAGAGGCTTGACTTGGTCAAATGTTCAATAAAGGTTTTGTAAGTAATCTAGCATAGTTGTTAGGAATGAGTAAACTAAGTGTAGCAAGTGAACATCTAAATAATAACTGTGTGTTACAGTGTGTTACAGTGTGTATACCTACAAACAGCCTGAGAATTTTTGTAGTTTAGACATATTTTGTGCTTAGTGAGACTGTGCTGCAAAGCACATGGTTCCAGAAATTATAAAATGTGTTCATAAATCTGTCAATCTAAAGAATGCTAGTGTAACAGTTTACAATAGCCTACTTCTCAGTGTTCACTGAAAATTAAAGTTCCTAATGGTTTTAAGTTCTAATTAAAACTACTTGAAATAATAAAGAAAACATTATTTTTCTTTATTATTATACATAGTATAATTATTACTACTGGAGGCAAATTTTGGTACGCTAACACCCCCACCCCTTAAGATCCAATCACCAACGCAGAACACACCCCACCCCCACTCCTTAAAACCACACTTCCTCACCCACCAGCTGCTGGTCCCTCTCTCTGGGGCAGCCATTTTCTCTTTCAGATAATAAAATCTCTTGCGTGGGCCTGTGTCTCCTGAGTCGTTCTGGGTAAGGAGGGTTGCAGCAAAATACCCTTTCAACTACCCCAGCCCAACTCTACTTCTGGTCCTTCTGTGGTGAGAGTGCTCACTGACAGCGCGTTTATTTCTCACTGCTGCTCTCCTGTTACACAGGAAGCCTATGACGTGGTCAAATTTTGGCTTTGGGTGCTGGAGGAAGGAGGCAGTTCCCAGACCCACTGACATCCAGACCTATGATCTCAGGTGTTCCTGGCCTTGGACACCTGTGGCCCATTACCCCGGTGTACTCTCCCCCAGCCTCAAGCTCCCTTATCGTATTCCTGTGAATTCCCTATGGCATTCTTCCTTCCTGAAGATTCTCAAGGGCCTCTGTAACCTTGACTAGAATGGTAGCAGCAATCTCAGAATTATATATTTTCTGTCTGGATTTTAATTTCAGGTGTCAAATGTCTCAGAATCAAAGCTTAATAGCTATACTCTTTTGAAAAATTCCTTTCTCATACTCTGTGGCAAACTGGTTCAGCCCAAACCTCCATCTACAATTAGACCCTTCCCATATAAACACTTCCCTGCCCTTCATCCCTTCTGTGTCCCAGCTACTGAGACAGTGTGCTTCTTCAGCACCTTGCTATTTAATGCATGAGTGGGAAACCTGAAGGGTCAATAGGAATGAATGTAGAGCTACTCAAACACCCTCATATTCACGGAAGTATAATTTAAAGCAACACTGAGCTGCTACTACCTTAGGCATTTACGATCAGCAGACATTTGAAGGTGGCTAACATAAAGCGTCAATCAGGATATGAGGAAAATGGTAATCTTTCTACACAAAGGGACAGCAGTGCTCAGGGAAATTAAGAACAGTCTCTGCCTTTCAGCACATTCCATTCCTGATGTGTATCCACAGGAAGTTCCCCAGACATCTAGAGAGTACCTGGAGGTAAGTACTTACAACACTGGTGTTTGTAGAGGCCAGGGTCAAAGGCAAACTATGTATCCTTCACCAGTGGTGCTGGAGTTAAACAGTCTTAGGCAGGCTGCCTCCAAACCAGCCCCTGAGATGAGGATTTGCATCCAAGCTGCTTATTTGGAGGTGAGTTAAGGAAGCCCCTGTGTGCGAGTGGGAAAGTGAGGTGGGGTGGTTTGAGAATGGATAAAGGGCACATTATTGGCAGGTTACCTCTGTGACCAAAGGGGCCTCACTCCCACCGGAGACTACTGGGGGCCAGTGCTGTCCAGCCTCAGAGAGGAACCACCTGAGCGGGCGCACTGTGGCTGTTCACCCTCAGGCCCACAGTGCCGTGCTGGACGGGGTCCCAGGGACACCGGGCCCAGGGCTGGCTAGCCTGCCCAAGCGCAGGCCCAGAGAGAACCTTCAGGTAGGAAGGCCCAAGTTCATGCATCTGGAAGGCAGAGGTGTGGACTAGAGACAGTCATTGCCAAAGGGAGAGCACAAGGCAGGGACTGAGCCATGGGACAGGCTTTAAAACTCAGGTGGGGGTGCTGAAGAGCTAGCCCGAGTTACAGAGCAGTATCACTGGCATGAATAAAAGACGCAGCAGAAAACAAGACCACATTATATAACGTCACACCCCACACACGTGGACACACTTCACACAGTACACAGTGGCTTTGGTGCAGCTGGACTGGCCATGGGGATGAAGGGAAGAAAGAGAGGAAACGAGACTCCTCACAGAAATGGATGGACAGAGACAGCCATAGCTTGGGGGAATGATGTAAAACTGTCTCTGCCTCATCCAGGTGAACAGGTCTCCCGGTCCTGGAGACCCTCTGAACCCCACCTCCCTCATCAAACACAGGACATCTTGTTAGGCAGGAAAATAGATATGAGTGGGGTGGAGAAGAATAAGGCCAGTAAAGCTCACTAAAAGGGACTCAGAGTTAACCAGTTAAAACTAGAGAGCCAGAAAAGGCTCCCAGAGTTAATCAGTTGAAGCTCCAAAGACCAGGAGTAACTTGGAATGCCCATATATTCCCCAGGTAAAGAAAAGTATCTGAGTGCAGCCCACATCTTCATTGTGTCAATTAGATCATGCCATTGTAAGATTTACTTTAGCCTGCTAAAAGGTCCAGCTTATTCTTTAACTTAACCTGTGCGCTGTTTCTTTTTCTCCTCCAGCCCCTAATCAAGTACTCTGCAACCTGGCAGGAGACAAGCATGATGGTTAATTTAGCACAAGCCCAGCTATAAACAGCATAGTAAAAACAGGAAAGATTCCTTCTTAAAGCTAAGATTGCATTTAAAACCTACTAAGTTAAGAAGTAAGATTCTAAACACACTCTAGCAAACAGACAATAACTCAGCCCACCTTGGGGGCAGGGCAGGCAGTCTTGATTGATATACTCCCAGAAGCGTATCATGGGAAGGAATCCAGCAGTAAATTTCTTATGTTAAGCTAATTTTCCAGATTTAACCTGGAGGACTGAAAAAAAGAGAGACTTAATGTCTATATCAAAGATAAACATCTTGAGACCACTTAACAAGAACACACCCCAAGCCCTTTATCACATTCCGGAAAAACCTTTAAAAGGGGAACCCCCAATCTTTCAGCGCACCTCTTCTCTGAGGTCACCCATACATTCTCTCCCTAAGTGCGAAACTTTAAATAATACTTTTACTCTGCTTCATTACCGTGTCTCTGCCCTTCAACTGAGGAAAATGAACAAAGGCCCCCTAGCACTCTGGCTTCAGGCTCCGTTCGAGCAAGAACGGGGCCAAATACGAGGTCGCACCTCTGGCGGCCTGTGGCCAGTGCTGCTCGGACAATGGAGCTCGCCACGCTTTCTCAGAGGACAGACCTGAGTGAGAGGTGCACCAGGGCAGCCCAGCGCCCACAACTACATTTCCCAGGGATCCCCTGTGATTCTAGACTCTGGGCGGAGCAGTGACAGCCGTGAGGGCGCTTCCTGTGCCAGCCCTGCGGGTGCGGGAGCTGCAGGCAGCCTGGTTCCAGGTCCCAGCCCTGGAGGAGCTCGGTAAGTGACCTGTTTAGGCTTTGAAACTGGGCTTAATCCCATCTCAAATGCGAGTTCAGGCACCAGATGCCACGCCCAGCCTGCCGTCAAGGCCTAACGTGGCTCAGAAAGTTTGGCGGACACACTTTGAAGCACTGTGCGGTGACTGGGGACAGCGAACGGTGACTCCCCTCGCCCCTCCCTGGGAGGACAGCAGAGCCTTGAGCCAGACTGTGGGTTAGACGCTCAGCCACACCACAGGCTGTGAGGGCGGGCACATCCCTCAGCGTCTCTAAGGTCAGTCTGTTGGTAATGGGGCTAGTTAGAGAGCTTACTTAAAAGGGTTGTTGTGAGGATTAAAAGTGAGTGTACAGGACAGCTGGACGTGCACGCCGAGTGTGTCAGGGAGCTGGATCCCCATCCCGGTGAACTGGGACAGCCATGCCCACCTGCTCTGTCCCCACATCGGTGTGTCCCGAAGGGCCCAGTTAGTCCCGCAGGCAGTTCCTGCTGCTCCCGCGTTCGCGGATCTGAAATTCCCTATGACCCCAAATGCCCAGGGGGCCTGGGTCGCGCTGTCCGCCCTGTTTAAGGGGATTCCCGGGAAGGTTCCACTGTGTCGGGAGGGGGCCTGGGTGGGGTGGTCTCCAGGCGCCGTAAATGACAGGAACCAGCTCCTTCCCCGTCAGGCTGAGTCCGCCTGCCCTGAGCACAAGCGAGCAAACCCCACGGCAGAGGGCAGCCCGCGCCGCTGTCCGCCGGCCGGCCGGGCTCCCGCCCTGGACGGGGCTCCGCCCTGCAGGGTGCCCACTGCCGCAGGCCCGCGGGCTCCTGGTTGGTAAGCTGCTCTTTGCTGCCCAGGGCCCTCATTCTCGTTTCTCAGTCACCGCACAGCTGACCCAGCCTCTCGCTCTAAAGGAGTTTGTTAATCGTCAACTGTCAGCGCCATCTTCCCCAGGGACCTGTCGTGTCTGCTCTGCATGGGTTTAAAAAGTTCAGAGGCAACTTCAGAACCGGCGGACTTCACCTCGGAGTCTGCGCTTGCGCGCCTCCCGAGGAAGCAGAGGCCGCGCCCAGGACGCGCAGCGCTTCCTGCCGCCCGTGGCCTGCCCGAGCCGGTGGCTGTAGCAACGGTTCCCGGACGGGGCCTGGGGGGCCCTGTGCCGGCCCTCAGCGCACCAAGCCCGTGGAAGGAGGGTGTGGGTGGGGCTTGCCTGCGACTCCTCCTCCTTTTCCATCCAGAAAGTCCCGGCGCTGCCCCCTCGTCCCTGGGAGGGCCTCGGGGCCAAATGAGAAGGGAGGGGTGGGAAGGGAAACAAAGGGAGGGAAAAGAAAATTTTTAAAAAGAAAAGGAAAGCACACAGGAGAGTGTCTCAGAAGCACTTCTTAAAATCTGTTAAATGACAAAAAAGCGATCAAGTAAATTTAAAGATCTAATTGGCTTTATTAAGCATTCCAAAATTGCGCATCATCCCCTCTAGAAAGTACAGGGGTCACTGAACTGCAGAAGAGACTTTTAAAGGTACGGAAGGAGCAGGAAAAAGGATATCAGCAGATTCCATTGTTTTAAGCAAGGTCACCCTCCTAAGGGGAACAAAAGGGACCTACGGGTAAATTTCCTAGTGCTGAGCAGGAAATTCCATGTTTACAGAGTAAGGTTATATCCTGAGGGCTGGAACTACAGTTAGTTTAGTTAATACCCAAACTTAATACGTCTTGGTTTGCTGACACAGAGCCATTAACATGAGTGACTCCGTCATTGGCTTGTGCTTTTCTTTTTAACAATTCTCCCCTTATGATCAGACTCTGCTTAACTGAGAGATGTGATCAGAATGTGAGGGCAGTAGAGCCCCTCTCAGCTACCGCTCTGAGATTCCCACAGGATTTGTCGATCCTGTGTGTGGTGGTGTAAGTCCGGGGAGAGGAAATCTCGGGGAAAAATACCTCTAAAAACCGAAATCACTCAAAGGGAGAAATAAAGTTTAAAACCGGCTTTTTGCTCTCAAACTGCAGTCCGGCCCATCTCTCCGTCTCTTGCTCAAAACAGCTGCAAAACCAGCCCTCCCCCTCACCGCTCAGGTACAGATAAGCCCTCCTTGCCCAGGTAATTACCCATTGATATGGAGATGAACTTCTCTCCACCCACGAGCACCTATTGATATGCAGATGAAAGCCAGGCGAGACTTTCTGGAAATACTACAATTTTACCCACAGGTGTTCATGGGCCATGAAGTTCCTGCATAATCTCTGTGATGTTTCACAGGTTACAACTTCAGGTTCACAATTTTTCAGTCATTTTCTTCACTCCTTTTCTGACATTCCCCAGTTTCAGGGAGATTGGTTGGTTGGTGGTTAATGGCTGCAAACATTCATGTAAAGCTTTTATGAGAATAAATACACTGTTAGGCTGCAGACACCACTGTGATTATTATTGTAAGACCTACCGGCCTTATTCCGGTCTGCGCTTCCCCCCCAGTGAGGAGACGAAGGCCACAGCAGATCGATGCAACAAGCAAGAGGTTTATTATTATTCCAGCTAGCTGGGGTCCAAGTGTCTGCCCAACACAGCAGGTTTCAACAAGGACCCCAAGCACTCAAAGCCAAGGGTTTATATAGCATTTTCAAAACACTTAACTCATAGTAGTTTTCCACAGCTGTACATTATTTTTGCAAGTCATACATCCTGGGGTTAAGCGAGAGCAAGATAAGACCACTCCTCAATTGTTAGGGAGGCTCTGCAAGATAAGCTTGGTACGTAAGATTAGCTGACCAAGGTTAGCTGACCAACGTTCACAGCTGCCCACCACCCGGTGTTCATGATTAGCTTGTTTTTCAAGGCCTTACCCAGTTCCAGTTTTTCTAAGTCACATACTCAGAAAATGGCTTCTAGGCCCTTAAGATGGCTACGCTTATGCTAACCTATTTCCATTCTTACAATTATAAGCAGGATATTTCCAAACGGTTGAAAAGTACTGCAGAGCCATGGGGAACCCAAGACCCAAACCAATTGAAATCAAATAAATCAGAGAAAGACCCTTCTGAAGGAGTCACCTTTTTAAACAAAGTGACTTGTTCTGTGATCTAAGGAGTCTCCACTTCCCCAGAGGTGTTAATCCAGATAACAGCAGGTGGTGTTGGCCACTCAGCTAGAAGAGTAAACACTTTGGCCAGAGTCTAAGGACCTTATGGGTGGTGATTGTCTCGCAACAGTCTGTAATACCGTCCAGAGTCAAGAGTCATATTCTCACATTTATACCTAACCGGGGAACTGTGGCCCTGCCTACAGAAAATCCTGAGTCATCAGTACCCCCTGGTCTTTTCTAATGATATAAATCCAGGGGAGTTGACCAATGAGAAGTTTACTTTGCCGGTGAAAGCTGAGGCACACAGTTGGGTTTTCTGCAAGCTTGAAATAAAAGATTGCTCTGAATTCCAGTGACCTGGGAGGTACAGATGAGGACAGTCACCTTTCCTGGCCAAGGCTAGAGTACAGGAAGGAAAAAGAAGGAGAAAGGGTTTCATGTTTAGTTAAGTATGAAGTCTTGACCTGTCATCCTGGGCAGAAACAGGCTACCTCTGTAGGACTCCAACCTCCCTGAGAAATAAGTTAGCCTAAGAGTAGCCATCTTGAAGCCCAAAAAGCCATTCTGATATATGACTCAGAGGGAACAACTGAAACCAGGTAACTCCTCTGGAAAAACAAGTTAATCAATCATGACTGCTGGCAGCGCTAACCTCTCGGTTAGTTAATCATAAATGCCGACCCTACCTTGCTACACCCCCAGGACGTGGCACTAACCCAGAAATCGTAGGTTTGAAAAATTACTGCCTCTGTAGTATTGTTATCTTGCTATGTAGTATTGTTATCTTGCTATGTAGTATTGTTATCTTGTTATTACAAAATAATCTGTAACCATGGTAATCCTCTAGGGCTGAATGCCTCAGAAAATCCTATATAACCACTTAGTTGTAAGTGCTCAGGGTCCTCGTTGAGACCCGCTGCGACGGGCTGACTTGGACCCCAACTAGTTGGCTTCTGAATAAATTCCTCATGCTTGTTGCATCAAGAAACGTCTTTGGTGAGTGATTTGGGGCGGCGCCTTCCTCAGGGGAATCCAACACCTCAATGCCAGCTACTTCTCTGCTGATTCAGAAATCGCCATTTCTGTACCAGATCAGATGTTAGGCAGCACCTTCTTCAGCTGTAAGATGCATACCCAAGTGTAAGTCCAGGGAAAGGAAAGCCTTTGGCAAAATACTCTAAAACCAAAATCAGTCAAAGGGAGAAATAAAGTTTAAAACCCTTTTATTGCTTACAAACTGCGATCTGGAGCCATCTCTCTTTCCTGCCCCAGCAGAAGCAAAACCAATCCTCCCCTCACCTCTCAGGTACAGATGAGCCCTCCAGTGCCCAGGTAATTACCCATTGATATGGAGACGAACTTCTCTCCACACTTAAGGAATGCCTATTGATATAAAGATACACTGAAGTCACACTTCTCTCCACCCCTGAGGATTCGCATACAGTAAGGCCAGGAGAGATATTCTGGAAATATTACAATTTCACTCATAGCAAGGCTTCAATGCCTTCCTGATTTTGCAGCAGTGCCCATGGCTAGGAGCACTTAGTAAGGTCTCTTCCAATGAGGTTCAAGGGCTATTTTTCTCTAAAGATGTTTCCACAATACCTAGTCACCAGGCTTTAAACTATGGCCAACAGGATCCTTGGAACTGGGGTCCAGAAAGGCTGCTTTAACCTGTTGATGATAGACCTCAGCATAAGACATTAAAGACTTAATGGTAGCTGGTCATACTAGCATGAGAAAACAACGGGTCAGCAGAAAGTACATATCCACAGACACTGGTCTGCTGGTGACCATCTCCTGTGGAGTGTGGTGTGTTTCCAAAAGGGGGCTACTGTGAATAGTCAACAAGACCTCAGGCCAGGGAAGTCCAGGTGTTTTGTCAAGTTAGGGATTTTAAGTTTGAGGATCCCATTAGTTCTTTCCCCCTGCCTGATGCCTAAGGGTGGCAAGGAAAGAAGTCTGCAAGGCTCTCTTAAGGCTTGTATATGATTTGCCCGGTGAAGTAGGTGCCATAATTGAAGGGCCCCCACCAGTAAGATGGTGAACTTCCAGCTTCTCTTCGGGGTGCTCGGTTCCCGCCGGCACCACCTGAAGCCCAATCACCTCTCGCCCCCCTCCCAATCCCAGCACCTAGCCAATAGCCACCAGTCCCCTAGAAGTAACACCACAATCACCCCATGCCCCTTCCTATATAACCCAGCACCTTTCCCTAATAAAGCGGAATTCTCTGGTAAATTGCTGCTGTGTGTCGCTCCTTTCCTTTCATTGGTGCCGAAACCCGGGAGACGGGACACCCCAACTGGGCCCCGTCTTTCCCCCAACACCAGCAGCAGCTTGCCCTCGTCCTCTTTTTCCAGCGCTGGCTCATCACACTCACCACTCCCACTCTGGCCTTTAGGTAAGTTTTCCCCCGGAGTGGGCCACTCTTCCCCGAGCTATCGCAGTGCCATTGACCGTGATCGTCCAGCAAGGCTCTGACACTCGGGGACAAGGAGGGAACTCTCCCCGCCTCCGGCCTTCACAGCTGCAGCAGACCCTGAGGCCCCCCTCCAACAGCCATAAATCGCCGCCTCTGGCCTTCACAGCTGCTGAAGACCCTCAGGCCCCGACCCCTCCAACAGCCATAAACCCTGCCTCAGGCCTTCACAGCTGCGACAGGTCCTCAGGCCCCTCCTCCAACAGCCATAAACGAGGTGACTCATTTGTGGATGAGAACGCTCCCTTTTCCCCCTTCGTCCTACTGTCTGCCGAAATCCGTTCTGTCCGCCGAAAATTCCTAGCGCTACGTACCTCGTGACTCCGGCACTCTGCCTTCTTAGGGAAGTCTGGGTGACGACCCACACTTCCTAAGAAATTCTGACTCATATACAAGTTTCCCGCAGACCACCAAGGATCATCGGGGATGCCCTTTGTCTCCTTGCCGTCAGCCTCCAATCCGAGGATTTCCGTTTGTCTTCCCCTGTTTGTCTCCTTCTCTGTCCTTTA